CTTTCGAGCCTATACAGCTTGGAGTAAGACAACATGCATGAAGAGGATGATGTGGGCAAAATACTCATTTGCCTAATAATTCTGCACTCCCTGTATAATGTAAAATATCTGCTTTGTACATCAGACTGCTCTGAATGTAAATGTGATGCAAATTCCTCTTTGTGCACCTACCTGCTGGTTAACGAGTCGGTTCCCAGGGTCTCATATTTCACAGTCAGTATTTAACTGGAAGGTTTCTGTCTGAGTGAATCTGAAGTTTCTGCAGCCAGTGTCAGAGCTGGATGATTTCTCTAAATGCTAGATCTTTAAGCGCTTCCTTTATTGCCTCCTTTAACAGAGGATACAGTTGAGGATCCTTTGGGAAAGCAAAGAAGATGTGCCATCCCGCAGTTTACAACGAGTCACTATCACTCAGCCCTGCTGTTTTCTACAGTCTGGTAAAAAATATAAAATTCATTAAAATGATCAAATTGAGGGTTGGAGTGTAACTTAGTTTGATTCAGTGGATTTCTATTTCTCTACTTCTCTAATGACACTCATGCGAGCCTTTTGACGACGTGGAGATTTTATTTAAAAAAGAGCTTTGGTGCCCTCTGGAGGTCAGTGTCTGAATTAACAACTAAGTGAGACTTACACACAGGGCAGTCATTACTTTATATATTTGCATATGCTAAACATGCTGAATTACAGTGGAAACGTACAGATGATGGCAGAAATTCAGTCACTTAGCCTGTAGAAATGGAGAGTTTTTTTTTTTTTTTTTAAACAAACCAAAACATTTTGAAATTTTTTAAATTATTATTACTTTTGAAATTATTTTTTGACTGGAGCAGTTCCTGTTGATCTGCTCTTTAGTACCATATTAAAATAACTTCTTCAAAGTAAGAAACCCAAAGTACAGTAAAAGCCATAGAAGGAAATCCCCTTGTAGCGGTGTCTGTCCAGGGTTAGTGAAAGAGAAACTGAAACAAAGTAATAAAAATAAAATAAAATAAAAACAGCAGATTTCCTGAGGTGCTTCATACATACACATTGTCTGCGAACTTTCTCGCCACTTAACAGGTTGGTGTCAAACTAAAACTTAATAGCATGAAATGTGAAACACATACAACAGTTTTCATGGATATGTTAGACTGTGGATGTTAGTCTAATAATACTGAGTAGTTTATGGAACAAATGTAGTGTGCTTGAAAATTTGTATAAATTCTGCCTTATTACAAAAGAAAGAATATAAAAAATGTTTAAATCTGCTTTGAACAGATTTTTTTAAAACCTATTAAGAAAATTGATGAAGATGAAGAAATTCTCCTCCAGAAGCTGAAAGCACTGGTTACAAATATCAAATGGAGCCCAAAGGAGGTCGCTGACTTGTTTGATGCCCCTTTGAAGAGATTTGAGTCATCAGTAAATGACAAATCACATCTCCTCACATGGATGGTAAAAAATGTTGCACTGCATAGAGATTCACTTTATTACTTCAGACTTGAATGCTGAATGTTCATGCAAAAAAACAGACAAACAATCAGCTGCAGTGAGTTGAAAATGAGATCAACCATGACGCTTGTTCTCACACTGGGTTTAGATAAAACAATACAGTCGCTTTATCACAACAGGTGATCAGAGTTGGACACAGATGAGTGTTTTGTTCTATTATTGGTTGACCTCAAAGAACAGAAGGAACCATAATGAAGAATTTAAATATGTACAGTTAGGATGTGATCACTGTAATACCATGCACTCTGAATCCATCAGAAATGACTTTTAAAATGGTAACTGTATCTGAAGTGAAGTAACTGTCATATATACAAGTTTCTGTCATGCATTTGGTATCATGCATTGAACCCCTTTGACTCCATTAGTCCATCAAATTCTGGACATTCATGATCCAACGCTGGCACTTTGTGGATGCAGTCCTGCTGTTTGCTGAGGCTGGAGATGATGAAGCAGTTCATCTTCCATTGTGACATCAGGGATCCTTGTGGAGTGTTGGTGACTGTTGATTGCTTCCGGGTCATTTCTGTCTCTGTGTTCATCAGCAGGAGATTCAGAGTTCAGAAATCTCTCAGACATTTCAATCTGTGGTTCAGCATGAGTATGGCGTGAATCACGTTGTTTGTTTTTTCTGTAGATCAAAAAACCAACAACAGCAGCAACAAGAAGCACAGCAGAAACTGACAGACCAACAATCAGTCCAACAGATCCAGCCTCCTTCCCTCCAGCCTCCTTCCCTCCAGCCTCCTTCCCTCCAGCCTCCTTCCCTGCCTCCTTCTCTCCATCCTCTGTGTCTCCTCCTGTCTGACCTGCAGGTGAGAAACAGGTGTGAGGTGTCAGCTGTCAGGTAGGTGATGAGTGGAGAACAGAACAGAATCCATTTCCTCTTCAAACTGCTGTCAGACATTATCTACTGCACTCTGATCACATCACTCAGACCAGCTGCTTTCTACAAAGTCTCATCAACAACATCTTTAGAAACAAACATCAACAACCAGGAAGCAGCTTCACCTCTGATCACACACACACTCAACTCTACTCACTCACCTGGAGGATCAACATGAAGGTAGATGATGCTGATGGGGTCACCACTGAGATTAGCTCTCTTTCTCCGATTTGTTTCTGGCTTGACACGACACTCGTATGTTCCAGCATCATTAATCGTCACATCCTTCAGAATCAAAGACACGTCTCCATCCTTCATCTGTCTGTCCTGCAGATCCACCCGGTTCTTAAAAGATGGATGCTGGTTGTGTGAATTAAAGTGACCGTCCCGATACAAAAGCACATATTGATCCCCCAGGTCAAGTCTGCTCCACTCTACAGTCATCTGAGGATATCCGTTGTTTGGAGCTCGGCATAGAAGAGTGATGTTCTTCTGTCCAGATTCAGCTGTGATGTTTTTCTGACCTGAAAGTGGAAACAGAGAGGTTAAAGGTCTACGGTCGACTTCCAAAGATCACTAACTGTATAATGTTTATTAATACTGACCAAAATAATCCTGATTATGGTTTTGGCTGTTCTGTGCTCGACTTCTGTTGAAATCACGTTAGACAGTAGAGAATCTGTCACCTCAAAACCTCAAACTGCTCTCTGTAGTGTGAACGTCTCCAACCCCATAATGCAGAGTTTCCCCTCTTAAAATTGAAACATTTCACAGACTGCAGTGAGACAGTCTCACATAGAGCCTGATCACCACTGAAACCTTTAAGTTCAGTTCTTCAATTTATCTGAGAAATTAAACTAAAAAATGAAATGAAATAATGAAATGAAACTAAAAAAAACAAAACAAAAAAAAAGAATGCAAAATGCAAGAAAACTAGTTTGCATCACTGCAGATAGATAGATAGATAACCAAAAGTGTTTCTGTCGTAAAAAGTTTCTGTGTAAAGTTCGGAGAAGTGATAGATGACTGATGCATTAGTAATAATAACTCATTTTAAAACCTGCTTAAAACCTCAAATTTGACTCTATTACAGATCGCTCCCATAAAACACACATCCAAGTTTTTCGGACACAAACGCCTGTGGGAGATTAATCAGATTTGAACGGCCTCTGCCGTCGAGCTTTTCAGATCGTTGCTCAGCACACTGTTAAAAAGCCACGCCTCCATGCCTCTACGCCGAGGTTTGAGCTGGCGAGGTTTTTCGGCGACGTGGGTCTACCGCGGCGAGGACGCCCAACCTTCGCAATATAATATAGAGCATTCTTCAGCGAGGGTTTTACCGGAGGCTGAACACTGAGCGAGGATCTTGGCGTTCTCGGCTCAGGTGTGGACCGAGGGAAGTTTTGCTTCAGCTTGTTACGGTAAGCAGAGACTCTTTCACGGACAGACTAAGGAAACCTTTTGGTTCAGTCTCAGCTGCTCTTGTTAGACATATTCTGATTCTTTGTGAGCCTCTTACATAAACTTATTTTACCTTTTAATATGTTTTTGTTTAACATTCCATTTTTTTCTATTTTCATTTTAGTTTCCTTTACTTATCTCTTTGCTTATAATTTTATTTAGGGATAATTTTCAACATTATTTTAGACACGGGCTCACACCACGATCAACGGGGTTTTGTATTTTATTTCGTTCTCGTTTCACTCATTTTAATCTCTTCTGCTTTTGGCCACAGATTTCTGCCCTTTTTTGTTTCCAGAAAAACGTTTTTTATCGGACCTTCCTCACTTATTTACTGCTTCGTTTTCATGGACATTTTTGTTTAAAGAACTGTATTTAAAGATTGAACTCCGCTGTTCAGGACTGTAACATTGTACGTCATCTGTATAATACCTTATTAAGTCTCATACTCACTTCTACTAACAAGACAACAACAATAATAATTATAATTATAGATGCAATACAATACAAATACAATTATCCCGTGAATGCTTAATAATTACGAAACAGCAAAGTGTTAATAAGTTATTTTATTGCTAGCACATCCCACTTCATGGGTTTAACAATGCGAAACTGCTCTTGTATAGTGTTTAAAAACCTCTGAGAGCTCAGTAACAGACACGTTATAAAAATATGTCTGATATTAGTTTAACTTTGAAGTTGAAAAGACGTCTAAAACGACCACATTTTGACTTAAAACAGGCTACGCACGAAGGTCTTACCGAAGACGACAGTAGATGTTCAGCAAACGTTGCCTGGCGTTACGAAACAACCCCAACCCCCAAGCAAAAATAATCTTTATGATAATAATTACCTTGGGTGGCTCCAACGATGACGTAGAGTAGAGTCCACAGGTGCTTCATTGTGCGTTTGCACAACCACCTGTGCAAAGTGAGGAGCATTTTCTCCGGACGTATTCTTTATTCACCCACAGAGCCGCAGACGACTGCGGGACTCGATTTGGCGGTAGTCGTTGCTTCAGCCCTCGCCGGTGAGCCTAGATTCTTCCAGGGACCGAGGACTTGAACCTGAACAAATCCTTTCGGTTCAGTCTCATTTTTACACATATTCTGCTGATTGTTTGTGAGCCTCTTAAACGCACTTATTTTATTTTTTACATTTTATTTTGTTTAAGATTTGATTTTTGAAATTGATTGTCATTTTAGTTTCCTTTCAAACGGTTTTCACATCGAGTTTGCTCGGTTCTCTTTACCTCTATTTTCATTTAGGAATGCTTTTCGACATTATTTTTGACACACTGGGCTGTTTGTGGGCTTACACCACAAACATAAACAGGAGTTTGTATTTTTTTCTTCTCGTTTTACTCATTTTACCTTTTTTCTGGTTTTTTACCCTTCTTTTGGCCACAAATGTCTTTCTTTTTCTTTTCTTTTTAAATTTTTTTTGTAGTATAACAAACTCTGCAGTTCAGGACTGTAACACGGCAGGCGTTTGCACTTCATTTGTATAATACCTTAGTAACTCTCATACTCACTGCTAACAACAATAATAATGATGATGATAACAGCTGCAATTAAAGTATCCAGTGAATGCTTCATAACTACGAAACAGCAAAGTGTTAATAACATATTTTATTACAAGCAACTCCAACTTCATGATTTTCAGCAGGAACTCACAGAACCACAGCAGAGACCAGACGAGAATTATTTTTTGACATTTTTCTTAAGAATAAACCAAACCGAGGAGGAACAAAGTTCGTTACCATACTGGCCTACTGCAAAGTGTTTGGGTTTATTTTTTGGGGAGTGACGTAAAAGTTTAAACCCATCGAATGATTGTGACGCAGCTTTTTTTTTTTTCATTGTGAAGTTCACAATGCAAATTAAAGATGAAAAGTTGTTACACATAAATAAAACTGAATCATGGTTGTTTATTAAACTGGGTTTAAATTATTATTGTCTTTGGTTGTTTTGTGGAAATTTAGTTATAACAATTTTATTTTTTTAAGGTTTAGGACTAACAAACACGAGCTACACCTTATCAGTCAACATCTCATGTGACATTTTATTTTATTTTTCCTCTTTAACATCTGCTGGAAAACAAAGTGAATTATGATAAATGACATCACTAACTATTTAGAAAGAATGAAACCTGCACCTCAGCTCCTGAATAATTCTGGCTTTGAATTTGAAATGTGGAAGCAAAGTTTCTGCTCTCACGTTGGCTCTGTTTTGTGTCTTGCAGAAACAGATCAGAAGTTTCTGGAACCATTTCAGCTCCTTTCTTGGAGATGACCATAAGATGTTCATAAGAATAATGTTCTTGGAGATCTAACTTTGCTTCAGGATTCTGTGTGTTGATTTCACCGACTGCTCGTTTATTAATAAGTCTTTATTTATATTATTGTTGAAAACAACTCCAAATTTAAGAAAGAGGTAAGTTTAGTTTTATAGAAGAGAGAGCAGTCTCTTTGTCATAGCTACAAATATAAAAACACATTAAATCTGCATCTGTAGATGACAGTCAGCAATGCAGCTCCATTTAAAAGCATTAAGATAGAAATTAAAGTGTGAATGAGCGACTGCTGTTGTCTGAACTTTTAATGTGACTCTTTCCTTACTTGTTTAAAATATCTTAATGATCAGTCATTACTGCTTTTCCTAAAACCTCAACACAGAAAAAGAATAAAAACTAAATGATGTGAAATTCATCACTTTATTGCTCTACAGCTCTTTTTTTGTCTTTCTTTCGTACAGGGTTCACAATTGCTTTACGTTATGTGATGTGAGAACAAGGTGTGAATTACTGGGAAAAGTTTTTACCGGTAACCAATGAAAAACTGACACACCACACACTTACTTGGAAAATAGTTTCTGGGCGTGTCGGTTTACGTGAAGCACCTGAATGGGAACTTACATTAGCCTGTTTGAAAGTGGAAAAAAGTCCAAGAAAAGAGCACTTTTTAAAATAGAATAAGAAGTCTATAATATTTCAAGGAATTGATTTAAGTAGCGCCGTGATTTAGATGTAATCAGTGTACTGTTTTCTAATATTGTCACTAATAAAAGATGAATATAATTTAAGGTGTTTTCAAACTGCTGCCAGCTTTTGAATCTATACTGAGCCTTTCAGTGTTTTCTCCTTGTGCCTCTGTGGACTGTCTCTGGCACCAAAGTTTCCTCTCAAAGTCCAAAGACAGACATGTTTGTTCCTGAGTCTGGGTTAGGGATTTGTTGAAACACCTGAAGCACCTTCTGGTACTTTCTGCGGGACGGACTCACCCAGTTGAACTGCATTCCACTAAACAAGTTTTTACAGGGCCTGTGCGTCAGAGATGAAGAGTGCTTGCGTGCATCTCTTCAAATTTTCCGTCAGTACACAAGTCATTCTTACAACTGCTCCTGTCACTCAACTCTCTGGGTTTATGAAATAGCAAAAGAAATGTTGAAAGAAATGTTAGACCGAAACCATTCAGAGCTGAAGAGCCTGTTTTATTCAGAAATCTGGAGTCAAGGTGAACTCAGTAATCATCAAGCTTGAATCTCCTCTATCATGTTTTTAACTCTTTCACAATAAGAAGCTGATAAAAAAAATAAAAATAAAATCTTGAGATAAAAGGGGTTTCATTAAGAAACAAGCAAAGAGAGTGCTCTGCTGTGCTTTGCTCTTTAACAAGGTGACGGTGGATTTTTTTGGATTTTGTTTGGAGAATCCAAACAAGTGTTCGTGTATAACATGGTCTGATATGTGTGTATGCTGTATGTACATTTTTTTTTCAAAAATGTATCTTTCTGTCTATGTCATGTAATGCTCTGTATTTAATAAAGTAAATATTATGATTCAGACAGCAGCACAAGACACTTTCAGTTTTTGAGTGTTTTTAATTGTTGCATTTTTGGCATCACCTATTTCACCTATTTCAATGTTGTAAATGAGTCTTGTATAAAACATCAAAATAAACTGTTTACTTAAACAATGTGTCACGGTCCTGGGTCTCCTGACCCAGCGTTTTTAGTTCTTTGTGATGTTTGTATTATTGTACTTGTGTGAGTTATTCTATGGTTTCTAGTTTCGATCCCTTGCCCTTCATGTTTCTCTGTGTCCCCTCTGTTCTGTGTAAGTCTGTGTCTGCATGTTTGAGTTTCCCTCTGTGTCTCTCGGTTCTTAGAGTCCTCTGCCTTATGGTTTATGTCTCTGTGTTTCTTAGTTGCTGTCTCCACTGTGTCAAGTTCGCGTCTCTGTGTCATACTTCCTGTTTTACTTTGAAGGTCCGTGTCTTATGTGAATGCGTCCTGCTTTGCTTGTCTCGTCAGTCCTGATTTCTCCCAGCTGTGCCCTCCTTCTGTGTCTCATTCCCCTCGTTACTCCCCAGTGTATTTAAACCCTGTGTTTCTCTGAGTCAGTGTTGTGTCGTCCCTCATGCTGTGTGGATCTCCCTGTGTCTCGCTGTGGCTTTAGTTTGTGAGTTTCCAGTTTAGTTTGCTTTGTATGACTTTCTCCTGCCAGCGAATAAAGCTGCCGCACAGCGTTTCATGACACAATGTATTTGTCATGGACATAAGTATAAATGAAATCAGCAGTTTCTTGTAATTGCTCTTGTACACAGAGCTCATAAGTATTGGAAAATCATTCTTTTTTTGTGCCTTAAAGAGATTTATGTGTACTAATATGAGCACATGGCAGCAAACTGTTTTTTTATTATGCATACAGTAAAACTTACCCTACTCTTTGGTGGGAAAAAAGTATGAAGATTTTTAATGTGTAATGAAAGGCGGAAAGGAGGAAGAGATTTTTAATTAGAATGACCTGAAATTTCTTCCTTTTTTTTGTAAGTAATTTATCTGCTATTGAATGTGAGCACTCCTGCTTGAGCCACGGTTATTTTCAGTTTTGCAGAAGTGATTATAAAAGCTGTTTGCTGCTTTTGTTTGGCTCATATAACCCATAATCACTCGGGTATCCTGCTGAACCAGAGATAAGAATACGCAGCTTGCCCTCCTGAGCTTTGCTCCAAGCAACCGATGGTGACAAATCAAACAGTCGCTGATCATCTTACTAATAATAACCTTAACTAACCTTTAAAGCACATTTTGAGAACAGCCTTACCTTTGGTAAGCCTTTATTATTATCAGGTACAATAAATCAGTAACACAATGAATAAAACAGGCTTCAAGTGTCCTACATAAAATTATATAGAGATTTTGTTTGTTTTTACTTTTGACTCTGACTGACCAAAGTGAATTTAAACCAAGCACCCTAAAATGTAATTGGAGCACAAAGTCCAGTGTATGCTATTCCAGCTAGCATCTCCCCCTCCCACTGTATGTGCTACACAGTCTCAGTCAGGCTTTTTGTAAATGGGCACCTGTTTATGATGTCATGTTGGCTGTGGTATACCCTCTTTGGATCTGGTGCTCGGGGCCTGTTCCTGTCACGATCAAAGCCTCTGTGCTGGCCTGTCCAACATTAATCAGCATCAGCCAGGCTCAGAAACCTTTTGAGCCTGGCTGATAGAGGTGTGCTGTCCGAGATGACGTCTGCCTTCATCTAAACTGTTTCTAAACTTTATCTAGATGTTTCCTTGCTGCGTTGAGCTTATGAGGCACAGATGCTCCACGGTGTGGTTGAAAACACCCACATCACCTGACCATGAATGATTGAGGTTATAGACAGGTGCCAGGATTGCCATTTTGACACACCTGTCATTTGTGCTGGAGCTTCTAATCAGTGAATTACTGTTTGAATACTACTGCTTCAATGCCCGACTATAACTGGCCCAGAGATCAACACGTCACCCTTTGCTCTGTTTCTTTTTTTAGCACAGACAACAAAGTTTAAAGTTAAATCAGCAGTGGAGGTGTTGTTGCCGTTCTGTTTTAGTCTGTGCTTCACAATAACTTTAACTCCTCTGTGGTTGTCATGGCTCCCATTTCTGGTGAAACTAAGTCGACAGAAACCGAAACATTTAATACATGACAAAAATCTAAACCTGCAGGCAGCTCCAGGTCCTGCACAGTATCTTATATCTTATATAGATAACAAATAGATCATCGATGTGCTCCAGCACAGCGGGCTGATCACTTCACTGCCATACACAAAAACATACTTTGGTTCAGCACAGCTCCCGTCTAAATGTAAGATCTGTAAGTATCTGAATACATCTTTAATCCTTAAAGTGCACTTTCATTGTTAATGTAGCGACTTCCACAGTCGTTAGAGGCCGGGGATTGAGCCTGCCTATTTGCCTGAAACGCTGTCAACTTTACTCAATAATGCGAGAGGTGGAATTGCTTGTATATTAAAGTGCTTTGAGAGTTTACAGAGTAATGTGATGAGCTCCCGATTCAGACTCTTAAAACATCACAGGCTCTAAGGCAACAAGAGAAAACTCGTCGTGCAGCAGTCAACAAAAACTACAACAGACAGAGGTGTGAGAGTGGAGATATGAAGATATTACACAAATTAAACATATTTACATGTAGAATGAAAAGAACCTTGTAGCTTGACTGTCCAAGTTAGTACAAGTACAATGAGACTCATGAAGGAGGCTGAGATTACATAATTGTTGTTGGAGCTGAAAAAGAGGAAAACTGTTAGAAAATGCATCAGATCCACATCTATTTGTGTTTGAGCGCCCTCTAGTGGATTTTACTTTGATATGACAGACTTTAAATCAACATAATAAATATCAACTTTCTTTAAAAGTCAATTAGTTATATGGTACCCTGGAAAAACCCCAATCTTTGAGGAAAGCTTGATATTAAATCCAAATATTCTGAAAATATGTCAATAATTGTGATTTGTGTTTTAAAAATGTCTCAGATGGCGACATTTTTCATTTTCAATCTGCTCACAATTTATGGGGAATTCTTTATTCATAAATTTAAACTTAGTAACAAGAAACTTCAATTTAAAATTTTCATCAACCAGCTTTGAGCACAACTCCAAATCTGCAACAGACAACAGTTTTTCATTTATATACAATCTTCTGTGGATTTAGAAAATACATGTCTCGTCATTATTTCATATATTTGTCTTAATGTTAACCTTATTGTTTCTGTCTCCCTTTTTTATGTTGTGCAAATATTATTTCTGCTGTTTGAGCCTCTGGTTAATATTGTAAATGTTATTTGTCTTATTGTTTTTGTTGTAAACAAACAAATAATCATTTGCAAACGTTTGCTGTTGAACTTAGCAGCTGTGATAAATGCAGTATTGTAGGAAAACCTAATGCATGAGTGCTCTGTGGTTCTGTGCGTGAAACATCTTATTTTACACTGACAGCATTAAAAATAGTCAAAATAAATCTGCATCACAGGTGAGCTCTGAGCTGGAGGATTATCTATCTCTACCTGCTTGAACGTAGTGAAGATGATGCAAGTGAGGAAGTGTGCAGTAGTTTGAATGAGACTTTTAACTACCTTTTCTGTATATGCTGTATTGAAACAGTTGAATTACAATCCCACCATCCACCCACCGCAGTGTGGTTGATGAAGATCAGCTTTCGTTCAAGCATTGCAGCTGCATTCTCTTAAATTGACAAGCAGAGGGCGACTTGTGGTTGTGAAAAGGCCTCTGAAGTTCACAGGAAGCAGCTCCCTCACTCATGGTGGTCATTAAAAGAGTCAGAGATGAAGATTAATCAGGATTAAACAAGATGACGTGATAAAGGTTTAAGTGTTTATTTTAAAAAAAATCTGTTTAGCTCTGTGCTCTATGTGGGGAAACAGTGTCTTTATTTAAATAGAAGACCAGAAAACATCAAACTGTAAACCTACTGAGCTCCATGCTGCTCCCTCTGCTGTCTGACAGGTTCAAACAGGATCCAGCCTTTAAGAGCCAAACATACTTCAGCTTTCATCTTCAGTTTTACACTTAAAGATAATGAACTCTCAGCTCCTGATGAATGTTTTATTTTCTGTTCTGTAATTTAAGGCAAGGCAAGGCAAA